GGTGGAAAAAGAACCCTGCACAGGGTGGAAAAGGATCCCTGCACAGAGTGGAAAAGGAACCCTGAAAAGGAATCCTGCACAGGGTGGAAAAGGAACCCTGCACAGGGAGAACCCTGCACAGGGTGCCTGCGCAGTGTGGAAAAGGAACCCTGCACAGGGTGGAAAAGGAACCCTGCACAGGGTGGAAAAGGAACCCTGCACAGGGTGGAAAAAGAACCCTGCACAGGGTTCAAAAAAAACCCATGCGTGACAAGGTGGAAATAGAACCCAAACAGGGCGGAAAAAAAACCATGCCCGTGTGGGATTCATCCAATATTTTAATGCCAGTATCATTGTCTATACTGTAAATTGATTAATCAAGGCGTCTTTTAAATGGAACAATTCAACATGCATACAATATATTATAGATATATGCGAACGGCGAACAATCCATCAAAAGAAGGATTCAACATATATTGGAATGAACATGCTATGTTGTGTTCATATTCGATTGTTTCTGTTGGGTTTGAATAGTGCTTTTGTTAAGACGGTTAAGTCCCAAGCAAGGAAAAACGGAACATGCAAATCCAAAACTAAAAACAACAAAAGAGGACAGCAAAAAGAACAGAAAGAACTACACAAAACTTAAAAGGGGACTCCAGGCCCCAGAGTAGTTGTGGAAACATTTTGTTTGTTTTGGTGTTCCCTTTTGGTTGGGGGGGGTCCTTGCATTTGTGCAGCTTGTGCCTTGCAAGCCTTGTTGTTGTATAGACTGAATTTCCCTCGAACGGAATTTACAGCATGATGTCATCAACTCATGCCAAAAGAAAACTTTTACTAATTTTACTGCTCACAACGTGCCTTTGCGAAATGATTGATGTATTATGACTATATTACAATGTTCGTTTAAACTTACCCTTTTTCATCAGATCATTCACTGTTAGGTTTGGAGAATATGTTTGTGTATACACAAACAACACGGTGGTCTTAAAATGAGAGGCTCAGTGTTCCACCATCCACCGTTTGACGACCTCCATATCTCTTGCAGCTTTCCATTGCGTTGCGGGAAATGTCCATCTGACAACCCATTGCTTCAGCAAACCTACACCGTCCGTGGTCGGTCGTTAATGGGTTGGTTCTTGACCTGAATCTAATGATTCGAAGCAAAGTGTAGTCTTCTTAGATGCTTTGCTTACGTGTCATGAACACTCCCCTCTCAAACTCTACCCGGCATGGCAGTCAATGTTTTTTGGGTGGGGGGCGTTTGGTGACTTAGTTTTTGTCAGAGTTTGCTAGTTGAGTTTGTATAGGCAAGCAAACGACTCAAGTTGAGGTCTCAGGTTGAGGTTACTTACTGTCTGGTTAAAAAGAAACAGACCAGGGGCATGCTGACCCATCCGTTCAGAACTCATCCGGAGCCACTCGCTGTGCGACGAACGACTCCAGGAGATGCCCGACTGTCAGCCCCGCTGTGCGACTCGACCGTCGTGGGAGCAGCTTCCCAATCGCTACGAGGAACAAGGACGCTACGAACGTAGCTCCTGGCATTACTACTACTTGTAGTAACTAGTGACCAGAAACTACTAGGAACAAGGGCATCGCTAGTAGGAGCAATGCTACTAATAGCGTCCTTGCTAATAGCGATGCCAGGAGCTACTAGTAGCGTCCTTGCTCCTAGTAGCGATGCCAATTGTTTCTAGTAGCTTTCTTGTTATCAGTAGTATGGCCAGGAGCTACTAGTAGCGTTGCTACTAATAGCGATGCCAGTAGCGTCCTTGCTCCTAGTACCGATGCCCTGTTTTCTAGTAGCTTCTTGTTATTCAGCTTCTTGCTCCTAGTAGCGATGCCCTTTGCTACTAATAGCGATGCCAGGAGCTACTAGTAGCTTCTTGCTCCTAGTAGCGATGCCATTTGTTTCTAGTAGCTTCTTGACATGAGTAGTTGGAGAGGTGACAGGTGGAAGATATTATGCAGTGATACCGCGAGCGGCTAGGTGTTGGTGCTTCAACAGAAGGGTTCATAGACCATTCGTTCGGAGTGTCTCCGGGGGGGGTGCCCAGAGAGAATGTGCTTATTTGGTAACGAATCCCATGACTCATGACAGACTGACCATTTTTCACAAGAGTGAGTGCAGGAGCTATCAATCTGATATTTGGATGAGAGACCAAAGGTTACTGTCAGAAACTCATCAGAATCTCTAAATAAACATACACAACAAGTGCTGCCAAACGGCCCTAGTCCTGGCCAATGTTGTATTTGATATATTTGCTTCATGACCTACAATAGAAGATGGGACATCCCCAGCAATCAAGTCACCTCTTAGTGATCGAAATTCTGGTAGATATCGGTAAAATCCACACGTGAAGGTGACTGGATGACTAGACTATGTGGTTCTACTGTTGTACTGTATCTCTGTGCCCTTTCGGTATCGAGCTCTCATTCGACTATATAGTTGTTTGGAACCAAAACAATTGAAACATTTTGAAACAGTGGTATGTTGCAATATGTTGTTGCCACAGGATCTCCGTTCAACGGTTTCCTCCAACCCGCGAAGCGCTCGAAGCGCGGAAGAAACCTCCTCGAGGTGCCGAAGAACCTCGTGGGTGATCATCTGGACTTGAAGGACTGTGACAACTGCATCGCGGGGCAAACATGCGACTGCAAGGTGGGGCGATGTTTTTTCCGTTTTTTCATTTTTTTTTGAATGCAAGGTGCTGGATTGGTCCTGGACTTGTGCTTGGTGTTGGGAGAGGTACTGTGTTTTGAGCAGCTTGGGGTGAAGTTCTTCGTGAAGAACTGGGTGAGGCAGTTGAAAGGACAGACGGGTCCGCCCTTTTGAGACCTTGCGGACCTTGCTCGGTCCCCATTTTAGCGGCGGTCTACCTTCTTTTGGAGGGAGGCGGACGGAGGTGAGGCTCCTCATGTCACCAGCATGGTGGTCTAGCAATGTCTAGCAGACGGTGCTGTAGTCTACTATTAGCAGACGGGCGTGTTTGGATGGTGGAGAGCACTGCAGCCGCATTGTTCTGTTTTTAGGTTGCTTGCCGAGCCAGCGTGGCATGACTTGAACCACATGTGGCTTGCCATGCCAGCGGCATCGCGCCGCTGCAGCGGCATCGCCGGTGGCCGGCGGGGTTGAGGTACCCTCAAGCCTCGTTGGGCACCTCCAGCAGCCAGCCTGGCCAGGCTCCTCAAGGTCTATCAATTCAGGCTCATAGAACTCACGGACGCGAGGATCAGATGGACGGATGCACAGCTCCGGGGCGTCACCTGAGGATGGGCCATTCTGATGGACGTTTGGTTTTCTGCCAAAGGATGGACCAGCCGTTCTTATACGTGTTTGGAGCTTGCTCCCAGTTGCTTCGCAAGCACCACTACCTTGAGGTGCAAACCATGGATCAGTCAAGAAATCCCAGACGGCCAGCCATACCACCAAAAAGCATTATATCGCAAGACTTGCATTGCGATCATTGCTGGTGGGGTCCTTCATTTGAAGACAACTCGATGGCGGGAACGGAGATGAGATGATCCACCAACGGAGAACATGGAGGAACCTCCAGTCAATTTATTAGTCCGCTGAAGGAGTTTCAGTCGTCAATTGTGTCATCAGATTCATGAGTACTTGTTGCAATGCTACTAGTGACAAGGGAATCGCTAGTAGTAACAAGTGCATCGCTGCTAGTTGCAATGCTTTCCTACATCATGTTTTGCAACCAGTCCAAATAATGAAGAAAGTGCAATGGCCTTCTCAAATCGACGCCAGGCGAAAGGGGGACCGAGTCTGGATATAGTGATAATACATACACTTCCTGAAATAATCATGGAAGTGAAAAAAGTGGTTCTTGGATGACCATTTTCCTCTAGTTCAACTTCCATGTTAGTGCCTAGTAACGTGTATTTGCCCTTTGGAAAGGAACACAAACCTCTTCACCATGTGTTTTCAGCAAACAAACCTCTTTCTGGTACTGAGACAGGTTCTTTATTGTTTGGGGTCCCCTGGTGCGAGGGGGAACAACGACGTTCCGTTTGGCTCAGGTGAAGTGCATGGATGGCTTTGAACGCGTCGGCCGGGGGCTGCAAGGTGTTCCAAAGAGTCTAGCGGCTTTGGATGCTTTGGCCATTCAGTTCACTCAATGATTCATTTCAGGTGTGTTTCACGTGCGGGCCTGCCTTAGGCTTGAAGCTACCTCCTTCGAAAGTACTTCAACCTCGAAATCCCTCCACCACACCTGGAAATGGGAGTTGGGTGTTTACACTCCCTCCAGTCCAACAAACATGGAAATGGAAAACCATCTGATTGGTTTGTAGAGGAACATGGTCATCCCATGGGCCACTTTCCACTTCCATGATTATTTCAGGGAGTGTAACTTGTTTTGGAAGTCATTTTGTTGGTTGGCTCAGAAATAACAAGCAACATTTAACGGTAAAAGGTTTGGGTTCTACATGCCACTTTGGTTTTCAGAAAGTTGCACCTGTTTTGGTTCAGGCGCAAGTTGTTCAATGTGTGAGTGAACATATGAGTATATATGATTGGTAATATCATATGATATCATATGATTGATTATTATATGATTGTTTATTCTGAACGTAGTTCCTTTAGCAGTAGGATAGGCCGTGGCAAAAAGAGCTTCTCAAATTCCTCAACTGGCAAGCGTGCAGAGAAACTGAAACATACTCCTGGGGCATTGCTTTCAATTGAGTCGTTGGTCAACCGCATATATCATTTGTATATATATACCTTGAGTCTCCAATGACCCTTTTAAATTCGCCTTTCCAAGAAAAAGAGGTTTTTTGAAAAGAAAGCACTTTTTGTTGCATGTGTCACGAAATGGTCCTTTTTTGTTTGTGCCCTGTCAGATCCTCCTTACACAGTGTCCTGAGACCTTTTTTGGCGTCCAAAACGCGTCTTTTTGCGTCCAAAAGGCGTCTTTAAGCGTCCGCACCGGACGTGTCCGGATGAAGATTCACTCTGTACCTTTTTTTGAATCCTCATCTCTGAAAACGCGTTTTTCCAGCAAAAGCGCAAAAATATTAGACTCAAAACGCAGAAAAAAGCGGTCTTTGGAGACTCAAGGTATATATATACACATGCATATGTGTGTTTCTCTTTGTGGGGTGCTTATCAACCCGATCAACCCCTTGTTCTTGTGGCGCATGACGCCTTCAAACAAGTTACACTCCCTGCAAATAGACGTGACTTGCGTGGATTGGCATGGCCCCGAAAGAAATACCAAAAAACACACCAGCCGGTGATTCCATCCACTTCCATGATGATTTCAGAGAGATACCCTTCTATCAACCCATTTGCATGTGACTCCGGTACAGGAAGATGGGACGCTTTTAGTCGTCCCCATCATTCAGCCAGGGATTCCCAAGAGTTTGTTTTTCCAACGACCCTTTTAAGCAGTGTTTGCTTCTTCATCCACTGAAGCTACCTTCCCGGGGGTCCAAAGCTGGCTGCTCATCTATCAGTCTCCCTGTCGCCCATGCAGTGTTCAACTTCTTTGTACGCGTGTTTCTCTCAACCAAAACCAAACTCGCTCTTGCTGAGTCCATGTTTCAATTAAAAAGCATTAAACAGCTGTTCTGTTTCAATCCGACGCCCCTCCTTTGGTTTGCACCCGAACCGCGGCCCGTTTGAGGTGGCGGTTCCGAGGGCGACCGCAGCTGCACGGTCGACGCCTTGGACTTTGAGGCAGAGCGACGTCGACAGACCACCGTGAAGACCTAGGTATCAGGTGTACAAGTGGAGATCCATTGTGTTGGGAAGAGATGTATCCAAGCTACTTGGGAGAAAACCTTCTTGCAGTGGGGGAAGTCTCTTCAACTGGTGGACCACTACAGTCCGATGCATCGGGATGGGTCCCAACGACCTACAGTCCAATTTGTTTGTATTTTCGCTATATAGGCAGCAATGGACATGGTTGCTGACAACAAGTGATTGGGGTCGCCGTAGGTTGAGACCCCAGTGATTGAGTTCGCCATTGTGGTGACAACATTCTGAACATCAAGTTTCAACCCTACAGTGGAAGTTCGGTTTCACGGGATGATCGCATGATATCACATGGTCCTGGTTTCGGTTTCTCTCGCTTCGTGCGAGACTTCGGTTCGTCAAGATTGGCATCATTGGTAAACATACATGTCGTTTTCGTCACCGAAGCGGGCACCGCCTTTGGTCTTTACCCTTCGCTTCACCGAAGCGGAGACCGTCAGACGGGTTCAGACGGTGGACGTCGCCGTCGTCGGCGGGCGAGAGGCTGCCACGTCCGCTGGGGTGGGCGGGGGTTGCGGTGGCCTCGTTCAGGAAGCGCCCGTGTGCCAGGAGAAGGAGGTGCGAGATATGTTGAAAGACATGGTGAAACTACCAAAGGTTTGAAGGACTTGGTACCCTCACAGCCCGAGAGGCAAGTATGGGGTTCGCAGTGCCCCACTGGTTCCTGTGTGCGAAGGACTGGATGTGGGTACAATCACTGCCATCAAGCAGAGCCAGCCAGTAAGCAGACCGCATAAAGCCCGTAGGCCTCTCCTTGTTTTTGAGTCAGCTGTCAAGTCACTTTCTCAACATTCCAAAGGGTCTGTGCACAAATCTTTATGTGAGAGAAACTATTTCATTAAAAGCATCCCTAAAAAAAGTTTTGGAGGTCGCTTTTGGAGGTCCATTAAAAAACCTATGGTCCCATTAAAAGCATCCCATTTAAAAACCTATGGTTTTGGAGGTCGCTTTAAAGTCAAGAGGCACCCCACTGACATCGAACGCACCGCGGTGCCGAGTTCACGCAGATGTGACTCCGGTGGTCCCTTTGAACACGGTGACCATTTTAGAAGCAAGGAGCAAAGTAGCAAGAAGCTACTCTAGTGACAAGGGCATTACTAGTAGCAAGAAGCTACTAGGGGCTCCCCCATGGCTACTAGCTTGGAGGCCATCGCTACTCGGAACACGTTTTCGGAGAGGTGGAAACGGCCCAAAGGTCGCCCAGTCACGGGGTGTTCACCTCCGTGACGGCACAGAGGCAGAGTTGGAATGTGCTTGAGGACAGGAGGCTGTTTCAACAGTGTATACAGTACAAACATATACTGGTACAAACAAACCTTGGAACCCAAAGCCCAAATGTCACACACCAGGTCACCAGGGCGCGATCCAGTGTGTCACCAGGGCCGCCCCTACTCCTGTCGCGATCCAGTCGAGGCCACGCCACAGTGCGAGGCTGTGTTCAGCACGGACAGCTTCACGGCAAGGTCCCAGAGCTTCGCTAAGTCCGGGGGATCAGGGACGACCAATGAGACGTGCAGACCACACTTAAAGATATGAGACGTGCAGACCAATGAGAATGAGTGAAATGGGGCAGTCTCTTGGGATGTTTGGGATTCGGGATGGTTTTTAAAGGGGTCGACGGTCAAGCAGGTTGCCCGGCCGAACTGAATAGACGACCGGTATGCAGTATGTGGGGGTTTGGCCACTGAACATGGCGAGTTGGGCTGAAGAGATCGAAAGGTATCCCTCCACCATTGCCAGACACGATCGATGGGACTGGCATATTTGCCCACATTGGGGTGGTTTCAGGAATCTTTCTACGCATACCATACATTAATTATATATAGTATACAATACAACTTCGATGTATTTCGTACATGGAGTGGAGTGTTGGAATTGGAAATCATTTATGACATTCCTTTGTAGCCCATAAAGAACTGACGAAGCTCTTGCAACCTTCAGCTCACGAGATGTTTTTGTTTGATGTCGCTGTTGCATTTGATGGGGTTGTCATGAAAGGGGCACATGCAGTTCCGCAGAAGCCTGAGAAAGCCGTCCCCTTTTCAAGGATGGCAAGGATCCAGAACCCTTTGCGAGCGTGAAACGTGCAGGAGCTGACGATCAAACTCAACTGAATACGCGGAGTTCATCCGCCCGTTCGGCCGCCAGTCCGGACTGCGCGGCCTGCCGAGCCGACGAGCCCTGTGACTGCAAGGCCGGCCCGGTGTGGATCGACCGCGGAGCCGACGAAAGAAAACGGCGACCCCATTGGTTCTCCAGTCATGGCGGTTGCAATCATGTTGAAAAGCCGTGACTGGAGAACAAAGAGGCCCCCCTCTTTGTTTGGGGTGTCGAATCGGAGAGATTAGGAGATTCGGGGTGTCCATTCACCACAAAACAGGGGCCCTGGTATACATATCGACCGCCCAGATGGTCCGTGAACACTGTGTTCACGCAGACCACCAACATCCGCCGGTCAGCTCCAAATCCAAAAAGCACGCTTCTTCGAAGACTCCGGGGATGCCGCAGGGTCCAGACGGAGACGTCATGATACGTCACGGTCATGCTGCTGTATGGATGCTCCAAAGCTCTTCGACCAGGTGGACCTTTTGGTCGCTTCATGAGGAAAGGAATGGCTTTGAAACCCAATGGGCTGAGCACAAACTCACATCTAAAACTCGACACGGTTCACAGATGTTCACATCCTCAGTGGATGCAACAAGCTACAGGGCAGAGTCGGCCCAGAATCACACTGAACCCACCAGAAACTCAACTTGTTCACGTTGTTCAGATGGGTGCGCAGGTCGAGTGCCAGAAGGGCTTCAAGATCTTCACCGACGTACAGGAGGCCAACAGATCCTGGCGTGGGAGCAGATCTTCGGACACAGATCCGGGACGGGGATGTGACAGATCCGCTGTCCAGAACGCGGTCCTGGCCAGACAGTTCAAAGCTTCTGGTGCTGAACTGAAGCGGCGAACTGCAGGTGAAGATCATAGAAGACTCCAACCTTGGGTTCGCTCATACACTTCAGATTCCCAGCAAGATTGTTCTATTAGCTGGGATAACGAGTGTCCAATGATGTAAGTTGATACCTATACTATTATGAGGTAGGCCTGTTCTCAGGCGCCCAGTCTTATTTTCGTCCAGCATGCACGAAAGAACAGCTAATTTCTTTCTGGGTGAAGGAGCTTTTATCGGGGTTACCCAGGCCCATTATTCTTATGTTTGATGAGGTTGCTGCCATACTTTCTCATTGTTGCAGGCGAATATGTTTTCTTCCTGTCACTGCGTAGCTGGCGCTCGATAATTAACTGGCAGGCTCCAGAGTTCCAGGATTTGAACATCGGGTCACAGATGAAACAGGGGTTCACACTCAACAAGTACTACCAAGCGGCAGCTCGAGTGGTGGCGACAACAACTACGCACAGATTCTTGCAGCTCAAGCGAGGTTGAAACATTTCTTGAGCTCACTCCGCCACAACTTGGGTGACGTTCCGGACTGGCATGTTTCGTAGTTTAATGTCATTTTTTGGGATGGTTCAGGGGTTCATCGGCCCATTGATGCTCCACACATGGAGTCTTTGGAATAGTGGTGGCAAGCTACTGGACCTGGGCAGTGTGATGCTGCTTCGGCACAGCCAACTCAGTGTTGTTTGGTTTCATTTGGTGTCCAAAGATCTTGCTTATTCTTTTTATGGCCAATTTGAAACCAGGTAGATCAGCAAATGCCTTGATGAACTCATCTATTCGGCGTGTCGGACTCGCCTCCCAGATGTAACTGGAACATCCACAACTGTTCCACCGTGAGGGATGGCCTCTTCGTGTATGCTGATTTTTGATGAGGTGCCCGGACACCGCGCTTTGACCACAGAAATCAACACATCATACTTGTACCAACCTTGGCCCGGAACCAGATCGATGCTTTTGTCCCGGCACTCACCGCTGCGGCACTCACCATCGGCACCGCTGCGGCACGACGGCACCGCCGCAGGGGGAGAAGAAGTGCTACAAGGACCCTGACTACGCCTGCGGCTCCCAGAGCCCACGAGGTCCCCATGGGGCTCCCCGCTGCAGCGGACCTGCGCTGGTCGCTGGCAGATGGTGTGGAAGTCCATGGAATTTGGCACTCCTTTTTTCCCCACATCTCTGTGTGGGGTTCTAGTTTTGTTGGCTGCCATCCCGCCCGCATCCGCCCTTCCTTCCTTCCTTCCTTCCTTCCCTCCGTCCTCCTCGCTCCCTCCTCCACTCACTCGGTCGCTCGCTCGCTCACTCACTCACTCAGTCACTCACTCACTCACTCACTCGCTCACTCACTCACTCACTCAGTCTCACTCACTCACTCACTCACTCACTCACACTCCCAGGCGTCTGCAGAGACTTCGTCACTCACTCACTCACTCATTCACACCACTCACTCCATCACTGACGAGACTGCAGAAGGGCCTGCAGTGTCCAGAGACTGCAGAAGGGCCTGCGGCGCGCGTGGTCGCCGCTGGGCCGGCTCTCTCCGCAGTGTCCAGAGACTGCAGAAGGGCCTGCGGCGCGCGTGGTCGCCGCTGGGCCGGCTCTCTCCACAGTGTCCAGAGGCTGCATGAGGGTCTGCGGCGCGCGTGGTCGCCGCTGTGCCGGCTCTCTCCGCAGTGTCCAGAGACTGCAGAAGGGCCTGCGGCGCGCGTGGTCGCCGCTGGGCCGGCTCTCTCCGCAGTGTCCAGAGACTGCAGAAGGGCCTGTGGCGCGCGTGGTCGCCGCTGGGCCGGCTCTCTCCGCAGTGTCCAGAGACTGCAGAAGGGCCTGCGGCGCGCGTGGTCGCCGCTGGGCCGGCTCTCTCTGCAGTGGCCGGCTCTCTCCGCAGTGTCCAGAGACTGCAGAAGGGCTTGCAGTGTCCAGAGATTGCAGAAGGGCCTGCGGCGCGCCTGGTCGCCGCTGGGCCGGCTCTCTCCGCAGTGTCCAGAGACTGCAGAAGGGCCTGCGGCGCGCGTGGTCGCCGCTGGGCCGGCTCTCTCCGCAGTGTCCAGAGACTGCAGAAGGGCCTGCAGTGTCCAGAGACTGCAGAAGGGCCTG